CTGAAATATTTTATCAAAGAAGGCCATTTAGTCATTTTGTTTCTTATCTTTCTGAAGCATCCTTTTTATCTGTTTGCTGGGTCAAAGCTGCAGTTCCTAAGTTTTTTTTTATTTTTTATTTTGCACATAAATCTAAAATAATGGGAATAGCAGCTGCAGTGCTTACCATATATGGGATATTGGCAGTTGCTTGGTTCTACTCTTGGTGTATACACTTGATGCCTTTTAAGGGAACTCGGTGCCTGCAGAGTGAAAATATCCAGAAACCAAACATGTATTTCATAGACCTGCCACTTTTGTACTCTTAGGAGCATAGGAGAACTACAAGCTCCAGGGATTAACTACAAACTTTGAATAGAAAGGAAAAGAGTTTTTTAAATTCAGAAATCTTAGATAAGGTCTCCAGAATAACAGATAAAATTACCGTCCGAGTTCGTCACACAAGATAGTACTGTTGTGGCTTGTCTCTTGGCTTACACATTACTGCAAAGTTTGACAAAATAAACTGCTGTCTTTGCATATACTCTGAGGTAAAAACTCCACCAAATTCAATACTAACGTAGTAACGTTTGAAGTATTTTCTATTAAAAAAATATGCAGGCTGCAAAAAATGTCAAATGCCGTATCGTGGTCCTGTGCTGCTCTCACAGATGTTCTTGGTTATATTCCCATTCCGTTCATGGAATACATCACATAAAACTCTCTTAAATCTTCTGTATTACACTCCTTTTGACTGAAGATGAAACAGTCGAAACTTTGTGGGTTAAGTACATTTGAAGATAAGGACATTTCTTTGACTAAACTGTTTTTAACATTTTCCATTTCTCGGCCCATTCCTCTTAGCTGGCTTTTTCTTTCAAATCATTTTTTAATCTCACAGGTATTCTTATATATTTATCTGCATACTACTAAAACCCTCATTGTTGTGATCTTTAACTGGGTAAAACAGTGCATCATATGGCAACAAGGTACCTCAAAGGGGCTCATGTACAGAATAGGAAGAGAGGGAGGAAAAGGGGAAGAGGGAGGAATGGAAAAAAGGAAAGGGGGAATAGGGAAGGAAAGAGGAACATGGAGGAAGGAACCCAGTGTACCTTTTCTGGCCTAGGACACCCCTGTACAGTTCCTCAATTCACGCCTTCCCCGTGCACCTTCCTCAACCATGTAGTACAATGATGGCGAACCTTTTAGAGACTGAGTGCCCAAATTGCAACCCAAAACCCACTTATGCATTGTCGAGTGCCGGGTGGGCGTGGCCCATTGGGTGGGCATGGCCGCAGTGGGTGGGACTAAAAAGTTCAATCAATCAATTCCAACTTTGCAAGATCTTTTTTTTTCCCGTGTGAAGTTGAAATTGACTGATTGAACCTCTTTTTTTTGCACACGGCGGCGGAGGCCTAAAGCGAAAAGGTTTTATAAAACCCAGCTGAAGGCCTAGGACTGGGGCGATGGCGCGCGTGCCCACAGAGAGGGTTCTGAGTGCCGCCTCTGGCACCTGTGCCATAGGTTCGCCACCACTGATGTAGAACATCTTGCGCATCCTCACATATCTTCTCTGACCCTCACCACCCCTTGTGTACTCCCGTGTACAATTGATGAGCCACACCCCAACGTGCCTCCTTTCTCCCTCTTGCTCCCTCCTTTCTCATCTTGCTGATTTTCCCATTGGTTTTCTCCCTACAAGCTTACCGCAGACAAAGTAAATGGAGAAGCCAGCAGGAATTTTAAGGAGGAAGGGAAAGAGGGCGGAAAGAAGGAAAATAGGAAGGATGCAGAAGGAAGGAAGGAAAGAAGTAGGATTGCTAATCCTCTAAAGGAGGATATCTAATAACCATGAAGGTGCAAAAAAGCAGTGGGAATAGAAGCAATGTCCAACTTCCACAAGGAAACTCAGTGGGGAAGCCTGCAAGAAGTTGGGCATTGCTTCCATGCCCATTGCTTTTTTATACTCTCGTGGTCATTTTATTTCTCTGTTTAGTCAAGGAAATATCTCTGAAAGGATGACCTAACAGGGCACAAGTTGTCTAATATGCCACAAAAGATGATAATATTAGTGTACAATTTTAATTTGATATTTTAGACTGCCTGGCTGAGTAGTTTGACAAATCATAGTTAATTAGATGAACCATCACATTCTATCCATGAAAAAACTCAGACAATATATTTCTCTCTGTAGTTCCAGAGATCTTATCTAGAAGAATTTCTGAATTAAAAAATGTGTTCCCATCTGTTCAAAAGGATAATACACAATACAGTGAGGAGTGGGAATGTTAGATGTTTTCTGTCACAAATTTTAAATGCCACACTGGCCTGGTTCCCTAAAACATAATGTATAGGTAGTCCTCAACTTACAATTGTTCATTTAATGACTGTTCGAAGTTACAAAGGCATTAAAAAAGTGACTTATGGCCATTTCTCATACTTACAACCATTGCAGCATTCCCATCGTCATGTGATCAAAACCCAGATCGTGGCAACTGAGTCATATTTATGACAGTTGGAATGTCCTGGAGTCATTTGATCATCTTTTATGGCCTTCCAACAAGCAAAGTCAATGGGGAAGCCAGATTCACTTAACAATCATGTTACTAACTTAACAACTCTGGCAAGAAGAGTCATAAAATGGACAAAACTCAATGGACAAAACTTACTTAACAAATGTCTCACATAGTAACATAAATGTTGGGCTCAATTGTGGTCGTAAGTTGAGGACTAGTTGAAGTTAATTTTTTGTTAATGTGCGAACCATATTGCTATAGAAATACTCAACCAACAGAGATTTGAAAACCGACATAGTACTGTATGGCAGGTTTATAATATTTATTTTGATTAGATACTACTTTCATGTTTCACTCCTGATGCCTTTTGTATTAACTTTTTGAATTTCTGTTTGGGGGGGAGGGTATTTATTTAAGCCTGTTTTTTGGGGGGGGATATTCTGTGACTGCCATCTCCTTTTCAGATTTAGGGAATTAAATGCCAAGACTGTGGAAAGCTGCAACAGTTTGAAAATTTATTTCTGTAGGAATAGAATAGAATAGAATAGAATAGAATAGAATAGAATAGAATAGAATAGAATAGAATAGAAATGGAAGGGATCTTGGAGGTCTTCTAGTCCAGCCCCCTGCTTAAGCAAGAGATAAAGCAAATTCATTCTACAGTATTTTCTTTATTACTGTAGGGCTATGATATTGGGCTGCAAAAGTTTGACAACCATCATTTCGGCAGCAGAGAGTTATTGTAAACTGTTTTGGCAATATTTAGTGGTCAACTGCATTATTGTAACCCAGATATGGTAGCATTTATGAAATTTATACTAATGTTTTTGCATTGCATTGTAAACACACTGTGAAAAGTTACAAAGTAAAGAAAAATAAAATTTTTTAAAGATACAACAAGCTATTTGCTTTATTCAGCAAGATCAAAATATACTCTTCTGTAAACTATGAATTTTTCTATACATATGTAAGAAGCAATTATAGCTATTTTGGTCTATGAAAAACATCTAAAAGTGGCAATTATTGGGTATTACTGGCACCAAAAATGGTACACTTTGTCTTACTGTATATTGATTTTGAAGACAACGCTCTAGATTGAAATAGCTAGCTAATATTTTGAATTTCAAGTTGCACTAAATCAGTGATCATAATTTTCTCTCACAATACAGATCTCGTACCAGAGCTAATTGTGCATAAATTAACCTATCTTATTTAAAGTTAAAATATTTGTACTTATTCCAAATAATACCTTGGCCAATATACATGCAATCTATACTTTACCTTTGTGGATATATTTTATTATATCCTGATTTCTAAGGTGTAGAGCAGTGTTTTTCAATTAGGGTCCATTGAAACTCTAGGTCATGATTTAAAATAAAACCCTGCTTTTTGAAATGCTAGTACTTGCAGTGACACAACCTGGATTGCTGATGTTGTAAACATTGTAAATCATAAATTGTGTAAATTAGAAATGAATTGTATTGTGAAGTATTTGTATTTTTTGCCAGAGTTTCCGGATAGCTGAAAATTATTTCAAGGATTTCTCCAGTAAAAGAATTAGGAAAATATGCTAGAGATATTGATTATAATAAAAAAAGACACGAGGCTGGCTGGCATATCAGTTATTCTGTGCATCTGTATGTTGAAGGTGTGTCTGCAAGAGAGAGGGAGAGAGGGGGGGAGGGAATAAAAAAGTTAGATTTAATTGTGTTTGATTATTCTCGTTTAATGCAATTGAAAGCCTGGAAATTATTACTATGAAATAAAATAATTAAAATACTATTGGATCCAGTTGTTGCTGTATCTGATTTGCAAACTGTAATCCACCTTGCAGTGTTTCGGATTCCAAAGGTTTGTCCAACTGATCTTTGCTTCTTTGTTGAAGACTGCATCGTCTCTTTGTACATTTAACAATTGTTGATTTTTAGGGCAAATGGTAAGAGATGAATAAAGGGAAATGGTCCTTCATACATTGATCCTATGTCTGTTTCTTGCCTTGACAATTCTTAGTTGACTAATGTCATTATGTTGGAGGGATATTCTTATCTTTAATGTTTTGTTGATGTTATTATTATTTCTTTGTTTGATTGTTTTTTGTTTTAATTATTGCAAAGTATTTTATTCTTTTTTATTATATTGCCATAGATCTTGATATATTATACATTATATTATTTCAATACAATAATGTTTATTGGAGATTATTAGCTTTCTATTATTTAGGTAGTTTAAGGTGTTGAGAATAGAGAAAGGAAGAACAAATATGCTATCAATATTAATTACGATTTAGAGTATCAATGTTACATGCATAGAATTATTTGACTTTTTGATCCAAATTTGCATATGACATTGAAACAAGAACGCGAAGTGGCATGTGATAGGTTGTTATGAATCCAGTTTTTCCATGGCTTTACTTAAAATGAATGCATTTAAATAATGCTATATCCATATATTCAAAAAACTATAGTATAGTTATAAGTTATGTTGTGTAATGCCTTTTTTTAGGGTTGCAAAATCAATGAAAGTACCGGTATATGAAACACCGACAGGATGGAGGTTCTTCTCAAATCTGATGGATTCTGGTCGATGTTCCCTCTGTGGAGAAGAAAGTTTTGGCACTGGTAAGATTAATGCTCTGAAAGTATTTCGTAATATTGTTAAACTACAGCACCTACTCCATTTTACAACTCTAAAAAGACTATCAAATAAATTTCTGCTGACTATATTAAACTTAGAGTCAGGTCTCCTATGTTACGCAAATCTCTGTACATCAGATTAGTCTCTGTTCATTCTGAACTTTTTGAGCAAAAGCAAATACAGGATGTCTAGAAGACTTCTTTGATGCAGCAAAAAAAAATGTTTTTGTTCCTATATTAGCAGCATATTGGCATTTACCCCAAACAATAAAAACATGCTAAATTATATGTAAAACATTTGGGAGGTTAGGGAGAACATTATACATACAAATACATACAAAAACAGCAAATAAAGTGGTTAGCTCACCTGGAGAGGACGTCATGGGATTCCATACTGTATGAGGTATATACTGTACAAAAAGAGGAGAAGGTCAAAGAACATGAGGAAGATCCAGAAAAAGATGGATAAACATCAAAGATGCACTACAACAACATCAACTAACAATGGTTGAGGGCGCCAGAAAAGCAAGAGCCAGAACTTTGTATCTCCCAAGACACCCAAAGCGGTAAAAGAGGAAGTGAAGAAAAAGAGAAGAACAATAATGCATAAGTAAGCACTTAATGATCTCCAAACCATTTTAATGTCAAAGTGAAGGTACATGGAGGATGCCATCAGTGGTCAAAGCTGCCATTACATACCATGTTTTCCCCAAAATAAGACCGGGTCTTATTTTTGGGGGTATGGCTTATATTAGGCCCACCCCCCAAAATCAAGCTAGGGCTTATTTTCGGGGTAGGCCTTACTTTTGGGAAAGCACGGCATTTGCGTCTCAGCATCTTATGCAAATATATAAGTTGTAGCATTTGTGTGATGAAGTTACACGTGTTTCTTTGTTTTGCCCTCCACTGAATAAGCTAATGCCAGTCACTATGTGCCATGAAAACTTCTATAAAGAAAAATAGCGAATTCAATTTTGAGCTGGACTGTAGGATTGCTAAATGATTTCTCTCTTGCCCTCTCAGTCTACTTAAAATATGAATCAGAGCAGCAACTTAACCATATATGAACATGAATTTCTAATGTGTGCTTTCTGCTTGAAATGTATATGTGTTTTCGGTAGAAATTTAACGACGAACTCTTCCAAAGTATATTGGCACGATCAGTATTTATCCATAAAACATTCTACTTTATATTTCATCCGTTATACTTAGTATCTTTGGTATATGAGCTTTATCTTTTATTTTTAAAAATAGCATTTAAAGAATAGAATAAATAGCTACATAAAAGGAAAAATGTGGGGAAAGATCTGGTCAATAAATTATTTACAATTATCATAAAATTTAAAATTCATTATTTATTTAATTAATTAAATGCATAGAATTAGATTCACAGTATCATCTTAAGAAATAACTAAAAACCTATATAAATTTCTAAATAGTAATATTGACATTGTTATTAATGATACCACTTGTCATGGTGCCTAGAATAAATGCACATAATCATGTAAAGTAAAAGAAAAGAAGAAAAATCGGAAGAGAAAAAAAGTAGAAAAATCAGTCAAAACAACATTAAATTCTAAATTTCTTCCCAGCCTGACTTATGATTGCATCAAGAAACTTATAAACAGTGCAATTACTTCTGTCTGTAAATTAATTATTTCCCTTGATCATATTCTTAATGTCTCAGTTTGCCTTGTATGATATAAGATGTATGGGAGCCATTCTTGCTTATATTTATTAAAACTCTTTTTTTTCATTTTTGGTGCTTCTAGTTAGTGTTGATTTCTGACAACTGCCTGGATTAGTCCCTGCAGTTTTCTTGGAAGTTTTTTTTAGAGATTATTTGCTTTTGTCTTCTTCCTACGGTAATTTGCCCAAAATTACCCAGCTAGTTTTCTTCTTAAGAGACTACCAGTCTCCCAGTTTCTACCCCATTGCCTTTAACCATTATATTAAACTGGCTCTTTTTGGTTGTGTACTATTAATTGATAAAGTGTTTTGTCTCTTAAATGCTGGAATTTTAAAAAATGCAGTCAATAAATGTAATTAGGAACAGGGACAGTCTGGAGAAGTTGAAGTGTGTTGTTTTATGTATGTTGCATAAGCAAAAATTATCAATTGCCCAAATACTAGTCTAGGGAGTTGGACTCGATGACCTCCAAGGTCCCTTCCAACTTTATTACTATTACTATTACTTTTAATATAGTAAGAATATTCTCACATATTTGGGAAGTGCAGTAATTCACTGAATAGCAGTATCTCTGTTTCCAATCCAGTTGAGATTATCTCTTAGCATATAACATGTCTACTATTTTTCCCATAGGATCTGACCACATCCGAGAGAAAGATGGACTTTGGGCTGTTTTAATTTGGCTCTCAATCATGGCAGCTCGAAAGCAGGGTGTGGAGGAAATTGTTAGAGATCATTGGACAAAATTTGGCCGCCACTACTTTTGCAGGTGAAGAGTTATCAGCAGATTAATAGCCATTCTAATTCAGGTTTTTATATCATCTGTTTTATGCCTTTGAGAAATAATGATAAAAGTAACTACAATTATGAGTGTGGGTGTGGGCAAAAACTACAATATTGGTTTGTACTGGAGCAAGGAGAAGTGATAATCATTGTAAAGTGAACTCCTGCATTCAGATAGAGTTTGACTGCTATTATATAGCCAAGATATGGAGTTTCATTTGCAGACATTTTAAAAATGAATAACTGCATTCTCCAAAAAATTCAAAACCAGGTATTCTAAACCTAAAAAAGAATTAAGAATATTGAACATGTTTTATCCATGTATTATTTAATTTCACTGAACTTTTATTTGCATTTTATCATAAAAGGAAAATAATGAAATAGATAAACATTGTCCCATAATTATAATATTAAAGCTGTAGTAGTCTGGTTTATACCAGGGGTGTCGTCCAATCTTGGCAATTTTAAGAGTGTGGATTTTAACTCCCAGAATTGTATGGCTGGCTGAGGAATTCTGGGAGCTGAAGTCCACAAATCTTAAAGTTTGCCAAGGTTGGACACCCCTAGTTTATGCCATCATATTTGGAACCATAGGTCTGGCGAATCGGCGGGATGCATTAGCTGACAGTATAAAAATAACGTATGGATATGGATTTCCCATTCTTTTCCAAATTAGCAAAACTCTTATTCCTCTGCTCCCAGCTGGATAAGGATTTTAAATTTGTATCACATTTTCCCAATTGAATAAGCTATGCAGGTTAACAAGGTTAACAAGCTTTAAGAAAAACCTCAGCTGTATTTCTAAATTAGCTTTCTCCCAACTGTTGCCCTGTAGAAGAATGGATTATGTTTCCTACAATTCCCACACACGGTAAACTGGTTGCAGAAAGATTTTCTTCCAGTATTAACTTAGAGAGTTCTATCATGCAGAATGAAAACTTCCTATTTAACCTTGTTCATTTCCTTGGCAAGCTCATAACATAGCAAATCAGTGACAATGTGTTAAGGGAGTTATGAGTTGCTTCTCTGGGAAATTTGCCCCCCCTCCCCAGTTCCACCATCCAGAGATATAAATGAACAGACTTGAGTGTTTATAGATTGGAAGACTGCTTGCCTCTTTAACCACTGTCTTGCTCATAACTTCTAAGGCACCCTAGATGAGATGGTGAAGGAGAAAAAGGAAGGCATGTTTCCTTAGCAGGTTGTAATATGGCAAAATGTAGCATGTCCATGACAACTGTACTTAACTATATGAGATTGATGAGTGAGACTGAGATAAGAGACGGAGTCATTCTGTTTTAGATACCAGGGACCTCTGGTTAATCGTTGTATCTTGTCTTCCCTCTGATTTTCACAATATCATTCAAAGTGCAAAGCAGGTAATTTAGGATTTTCCTGGCTTTTGATAAAGCTCACATGCTTGAAGAGGATGGCAAAAAAAGAAGAGTAACCGGGCCACCATTTCAGATTACAGCAGGTGTCCAACAGAACCAGATTCAGATTCAGGTGTTTGAATAGAATTAAAATTGTCCTGTTCTATTGTATTTCTAATTTTTCTGATATGAACATCCTTCCACCCCCTACCGGCCCTGAAATCAGACTTTCTCCAAATCTACTGGCCTTTCACAAGGCATTAAAACTTGGCTTTGCCATCAAAATCAGAGCCTTGATAAGGTGAATGAGCTGTTTCTCGGCTAAATGATTGTGGAAAGATTGGTTGCTACTTTTTATGTATTTATGTGTTTACGGTAATTACTGGTTTTGTTTTTATTCTGTTTCTATCCCATTTTAACCATCAAGTGTCAGAGTCATATAAATGCAGCCATACAGATTTAATAAATAAATAATGCATATTAACTTTTCACATATTTCTTCTCTTCTCATATTTGCCATACAAGATTTGATTATGAAGCACTGGATCCTAGAATGGCATACTACATAATGAGAGACCTGGAAGCCTTGATCACCGACAAATCTTTCACTAATCAACAGTTTGCTGTTGGAAACAATGTTTACACTGTGCAGAAAGGAACCAGCTTTGAATACGTGGATCCCGTAGATGGCACTGTGACCAAAAGACAGGTATGTCCAGGAGATTTGTTTCACATAACATGCCATCATTGGCAGAGAAATAATTGGTAAGAACCAGGACAAGACTAAGCAAGATAATTGGGAACTTGAATAATTTTTAGCTTTTGCTTTATCCTTCACTGCCAGCAGCAACAGCTAGATCTGAGGGGATTCCAAACACAGCAACTGGGAAAAGAAATAGAAAAGTGCATTATTTTTAACTTTTGCTATTATAAATGTGACAGTTTTAGTAATGGAAAATATCTCCAAGGCCCAAAATAGTAAGCATAACACGAATCATTTCTATTTTAATTAGCAGACAACCCAACCAAATCCAATTGTACAGATACATAGAATAAGGTCGAAAATTATGTCCTCGTGTTGAATAAGAAAATCAATTATTGTTGCAAATGAACTTTTAATTGCTACAGTATAGTAACATTTACATTAGCAAATGATTGCTCTCAAGAATTCTGTTTCCGTGCCTATACAATATTTATTTGCTCTACAGGGGTTGAGGATTATGTTCACTGATGCTTCCAGACTCATCTTTAGATTAAGTGCTTCGAGCCATGTGCGAGCCACCCTCAGAATCTATGCGGAGAGCTATGAAAAAGATCCTAGCAAGCATGAGAAGGAGCCACAGGTAAATAGAGAGAAATTACAATTACACTTCCAAGGAAAAGACATTCTATATATCAGCGATCCCAACCTTTGTGGCTTGGCAGCCCTGCTTGGGGGAAGGAGAGTGGCATGCATATGCAAATGTGCAAGTCTAAGCACATTTATTTGAAGCACAAG